ATTCAGCGACGAAACAGCTTCAGCATCAGATCCTGACATCTTCATTTGATGAGCAGTACAAGGAGCCGCGGAAGATTTTCTCCGAGGCACTTCTAAGGAGCTTGTTTTACTGTCAAAAACAATGCAATTCTATCATACAAGAGGCTCTTTCAAAAAGGTTATAACTACTACAACAACTTTTCTATATAATCAATCATAATGCACGGCGGATCGAACATCAATAGCTTACTAACAACTTCATGATTAAGCAATCACCCACCTCAAAGAAGTAAATGTTGCAGCATTTCTTCAAGCACAAGTATACACATACACACGCACACGCGCGCACACACACATATATATATATATATATATATGTATGTAAGTAATGAGAATCTTACCTTATGTTAGGGGTCTGCATGATTTATGTATGAACCCTCAGAAACTGCAAAACATTGGGGGGAGAATCTGATGATATGAATAAAGAGGAAGTGCAAAGCCAAATGGTGTTGATGTATATACAACAAGGCCTCAACAACATTCAATCAGTACAATTCCTTCAAAGAAACTCAACACAAACTACTTCCACTACTACAAACCAGAACCAAATGCCATGATTTAAGAAGGAAGATAAAACAGAGCAAAAAAGAACAAAGGTTGCCATCAAATAAGTTCACTGAATTTAATTATTCAAAACAAAAAGATTTTTTTTTTCATTATATAAAAGAAAACCGGGAAAAAAACAGGGTATTGTTCAGTCATCGGTGATCTAAGCTCTAAAATCTAAATAAGCCTGGAAACATGAACACCACATTGCTGATAAAAAGGAAATGTAACCTCAAACATTAATGTCTAATGGAAAGGATCAAGTATAAAACAAAGTTGGGTTTTTACCTGAAGGATGATGGAGAGATGATGGAGAAAAACCAAGCTTGGAAAAAGGGTTGGTTTGTTAAAAGCTTTCGTTGGAGATGAGGTTCTTTTTGCTATATGAATTCTGAGTTGCCTAAGGACAAGGCCAGGTGTTTTACCTTTGTTTTATATGTATTCTTTCATTGTTTTACCGTTTTTGTTGAATATCTCAGTGGGAAGAAAACGCAAAGGCGATGGCTCATAGGGACGTTTACCTATACACGAGATTGTGATTCATTAAAGCACCACGCTCCTTTCTCACACGCCCTTGGACGCTCTTCACTCCATGATTTTTGGTCCCTTAGATTTTTCAAATTTAAGACTTAATCATTATAATTAGTTTTTTTTTAAATAATATTTTTGGGTACATTTTATTTTTTAATATTAATAGTAAATTCAAAATGTTTGACCTATATGGATATGGATGGTCAAATGATCCGAAATTAATAAATTTTGATCTAATTAAATGTTATAAAGTAGAGTTTTTTTTATTTTTAATTTGAGTTAGGTTATGATTGGATCGAGTTCGAATTTAATGTGAAAAATTCTTGACCCATTATAATATTATAATTTTTCTCTATATATTTAGAGATAATTACTATAATGCCCCTATATATATATATATCAATTAGCTTCTTATTTTTCTGAATAAAAATGAGAAAAATGTGTCGGGTCATGTAGGAGATGAGTTTTATCTTAAAAAATTAGATCGAGTTTAGAACGGATGAAACTTTTTTAAATTCGAGTTGAATCGAATGTCAGATCAAAATATATTACTCAAATCAAGTTTAATTTTAGATAAAATTATTTGGATCGAAATCGGATTAGCCAAAAATTCAATCCGTGACCATAATTAACATAGCTGATTATTTCTATTAAAAATATTTATTTGTATTTTTCTTTAAAAAAATCAACTCATCATGTTAATATAATATATTTTTTCTGTCAGAAATTTTAGAAAAAAACCTGATAAATATTTTAATTAGAGTATGAAATTAATTATTTTAACTAGAATACTACAGAAGTAAATAATCAATTTATGTCAAATTACAATAGGACTAAATATTAAATTTAACCAGATAGAGTGACCGAAACAAAAATTTGACCATTGTCTATGATTGGCTGTTGAGGCTGGTTGTCCAAAGATATTTTTGTGCCTACTCAATTTCTTTCGTTTCCTTTTTAAACTCTAATTAATCCTCTCTCTCGTAAATTGCAATCAAAGCATATAAACAAGTTGATTCATCCATAGGGTAGTGACATCATTCTAAGAGATTGGTGGTAGTCACATATGAATTAGGACCTCTCCCGCAATTTTTTTTTTGAAAATTTTATATGTTTTATATATTATTATTGATGATATATTTTTTATCTTTAAAATTTTATACATTTATTCCTCTTAAATATTACTATAAGTTTACTCTTAACATAAAATATTATCTGGGTCCTTGAAGATAGTATTGAATTTCTTTTGAAACCTTCCTTTGTCGACAGTTGTGAGATACGAATGCAGTAAAACATGTCATTCTCATGAACATACCCTCTTATTTAGGGCATCTTGTTTAATATGGTCCCCATAAAATACACCATTTTGGGACCATATTGCTTATTTCATTTAAATATTTCGCTATCAAAAGTGAAATAAAACTGCCCACCAACATTTTGTTAGCTCTCATGTGAGCAAAACAAATCAAGTTTTTAATAATAATTTTAAAGCAATATTCAGGAATAAAATGAGGGTGGGAAGAGCAGATGTCCCTGCCAATTTCAAATTAATATATATTTCAAATATTTTTTTTTATATTTTCTATTGATAATCTGATTTCACCATCTAAAATTTTATAAGTTCTTTATATCTTAAAATTTTAAGAATTCGCTACCCTTGACACAAAATCTTGCTTCTGTCCTGACAACATCCTATATCTTATATACTCAATCACTGACATGGATTTTTGTATAATTCTTTGTTGGAATTCTTACTCGGATTCAAATTATTATTTTTTATACAGTCTGATGTGATTACAAGATAATATATGTTTATAGAATTTCTTAATTATTAACAATACACTCACCCTGCAAACACAGCTGCTCGAACCCAAGACCTCAAGAAAAAATAACACTTCTCTAACTACTGAGGTCGCTCAATAGATTTGGGGATTCCAATTATTAGATTGCACTAAGATTATATGTGTCTTGCATTGTAATGAACCCTTCCTTTTCTTTCTCATCTATTTAAGGATAGATACTAAGATTAGTAAGTTTGTGGGGGACGAAAAGATGTGTTTTCATATGGTTTAGACCTTTGCTTTGATTGCAATGAAAGCAACAAATGTAATAATCTTTTGCTTGTGATCTTGATCACTTCCGATTAGACATGAATGGACTAACAAAAACAAAACGACAACTCAATTTTAGTGTATTTTCTCATTAAATGAGAAAATAAAAGAAAAATGACAAGAGAAAGCAATCATTTGTACGCTTTTTAAATGATTAAAATTCATTATAATAAAATTTGGACTAAGATGAGATTTGATCGAGTCGAGTCGAGTAAAATGATTTGAGTTAGTTAACTTGACAAGTCCTATTTTATCATTCAAACTTTACTTGAAACTTTTTTTTAATTCGAGTCGATCTATTTGAGTTTATATTCAAATTTAATTGTACTTATTTAAAATATTATGATACGAATTAATTCTAATTTATCAATTTCTCTAATCATACAAGATATACATATTTATTTCTTCATGTTCCTTTTCGTATTGTAATGTTATTTAATAAATTGGTTATAATCTAAAATTAAAAACTATATTTATAATATCATTATGATATTTTGAGGATAAAATATGGTATCAAGTATAAAAGAGTCAAAGAATTACCGTAAAAAATAAATTGAGTAAAATACAAAATTAAGGAATTAAATAAAAAGAATATTTTTTAGAAATAAAAACAACTGATTTTATTAAGAAAGAAAAAATATCTAAAATTACAATGAGAGTTTGCAACTAGAATCATAAACTAAACACATAATTACGATATTCTCGTAGTCATTACCACAAGAAACTAGCCACCTAAGATCATATAAAGACCATACAATAAAAAGGTAAAAAATTCATCCAAAAAACTCAAATAATAGGTAGATGCGAACAAATTTGATTGATACGGCAAGCGGACCACAATAAGGAGTTTAACTACTGAAAGAGCATTGACAAACACAAATCATAGAAAAAAATCGTGAGAAAACTATCTACAAACGTAGGTTGCGTATCCAAATCCAATTTGAGGGTCCAAAACAGGGAAGATCAATGGGATAACAAATGAGCACAATCTAGATCAGTCGCGACAATATCAAATTCAATCTTAAGAAAAATAAATGACAAAAACGGGGGTAGTTTTGTTCTACGATAGCCTAATTTAAGGCTAATTTAAGACGGTTCAATCTAAAATGTTATCATGTTCAACATAAAAATTTATACAAATTTATAATATTCTCGGTTGCAACTAAAAAGTTACATTGCATGTACTTAGAGCTTACAACAGAAAATGTTATGAAGAATGTAATATTTTATATTGTAATAAAAAATGTTATTGTGTCCAATTTAAAAATTTACGTTCTTAATAAAATTTTCAGTTGCAACCAATTTTTTCCTTTTTAGCCTTATGTTAAAAATTGTATTTTAGAATTTCCTCAAGAACTGCCAAACTACCAAAATATGTGCCAAAAAGCATAAATAAACTGTCAAAAGATAAAGATAAAACGTGTTATAAAGATAAAATTATTAGAAACAAAATAAAAAAATACGAGATAAAAAATAAATAAATACCGGGAACGACAATCAACACTAAAACTAATGTTGCCGCCTCTAACCAAAGATGAAAAAGAAAGGAACAAACCAATATTTTAGAAGAAAGGAGCGGCGGTAGGGTTTTTTTTTAATTTTAAAATTTAAAGTAATATATATTGCTAAAATTAGGAATGGAAGTTAGATAGCTATTATTCTATGATGTATATAATTGTCATAAACAACGCAAGAAATTTCCATAAAATGATCTTGGACATAATTTACTGTCAATCACAAATATAATTTGTCACCTGAAGACAAAAGCACATGTAAACAAGGATGTAAGAATTGAGAAGGAAATTTTTAGATGACAGAAGCTAGCTGATCCAGCAACAAATTCTACCCCCAGCGACTTAAAAATCTTTTGACAGTTGAATTAATTAGAAATCAAATGACTATAAATAATTCCTCTCTGCTTCATTGTATGGTTCATATGGACGTCATCATCTGTTTTTGATTAGAAATAATCGACTGCACTCAATATTCACCACTGCAACATCTGTATTGGTGATGCCGCTGTCAACTTTTGGCGGACCTTAGTGCCGCCTTGGCCTGGCCGGTGAAGGCGGATAAGAAAGCCGTTTCTTAACAGATGCAATCCGCTCTTTCTCGGGTGTTCCGCTTGGTTCTAGTCCCAAGGGACTTTCTAATCTCGTGGTCTTAGCTCTTGCAGACTTAGTTGGTACCATGTAACTTGGAAGCGTTGGAGAGTTCAAAAGGCTCTCGTCGTCATGCACTGAGGAGCCTGCAATGCTGTGTCTCCGGTTTCTTATGGACTGCATACTGACTATGCTTCTTGTGTCGTCATCCGGATCGACCATGCCACTCCTAGGGCATGCTGACTTCAGCTTTTGGGCAGATATGGATGCTGACTTAGGAGTAGAAGGGGACAAGAGGCTCGAAGTTCGGCTAGGCTTTTGGCTGGCCTTCAGGGTTTGCTTATCCGAATTGAGTTGGTAACGAACATAAGCTTTGCTGATTTCTCCTCCGAAGTTGCTTCGTGCACTCTTTGTGGATGACTGGTCATTGATCTGTTCCTTTTCTCTCATGCCACGACGCCCTTCCCATGGCCGGGCTGCCATCCATCGTTCCATCCAGCTCCATCCCCACGAGGGATTGTTCGGATCCATGAATAAAGGATTCATAGATCTCGAACCATTCTTCCAGGCTTGCTGAAAAAGTTATTTGTAGGTGTCAGATACTTGAATATCAAGGTACTACTAGAGTACAAGTTTCCTGGAGAAACTCCCCCCTTAAAAAGGACTCATGTTTGAGCATCAGGCAGTACATATACATTAGAAGAAAGAAACTGTTTTTCGAACTTGAAAACGTATGTTCGAACTTCGTTATGAAGTAATTCCTACAGCACATATTACCTGATGAGTAAATGAGTATGCCATGGCCCTTTCTCTTTTCATGGCAGCCTCATGTTTTCTCAATAAGCTTGCCTCAATTTGTTCCTTTGACTGCACACTGTCATCCCACTCTTCGCCCATCTGTTTAAAGCATCGAAACCTATGATTGGAAAGCGAGATCTAACTAATAGAAAAGCGACATGGTACAACATATATGTATACACCTCTGTCTGGTGCACATAATAGCTTAATCTATCATCTTATCTGTTTGTACATCAAAGAGAAAGGGGATTTTACCTGCAAGTTCACGAGCTCTTTCGCGTGTCTCTGCAAGAGTTGCCTCTGAAGAGCCTTATTTTCTTCGGTCATTCGTATTCTCCTAGCATGAATCTGACACTGCAGACGAGAGAGAGTTTGCATACACCGAAGGCCACTGGCTGCTTGCCTTTTGACTGCAGGCACTTCAATCAGGGATTTCAGCCTAACCAGTCCTCTTAAGGCATACAATGCCCTTTTTGCCTGAAAAATGAAGAAAATCATGATCTGCAAGCTATTGATCCATGAAAGTTTGATACTAGACTTAACTCATCATCAAGAAACAGTTTCATAAATCCTGCAGGATGAGTTAGATGAACCGAAGAACGGCCGGATCTGATCGATCATTGTAATGAATAAGAAATAATCAAGCAAACAACTTCATGAGGAAAAAAGGAAAAAGTTGCAGCACATACAAGGTAACCTCGGAAAGCTGTTTGAATTTTGATTGCTGCCACTTCCTCCTTAGACTTCCCGGCAAACCTGACATCCGTATTTAGTTGACGCCGAACTGCCTCGACAGCAACCTGAGATGGAGCGGCCGGAGCAGTGGCAGGGTAAGTCTGCTTGCTTAACTTCGCCTCGTCAGGCTGAGGATGAGGGGATAATTTGACAGTTTCTAGACTGGCTGCATTAGAACCAGTGGGGTCCAGAGGCATCTTCTTCTCCAAAAACTCTTCTTTGGATTTCTGAAAAACATATCAATCAAGAATATTGAAGACTGAGCTAACCAATGAAACTACATATGATCCTTAGCTGAATGGACATCTCCAAACCTGGTTTTTCTTTTCCTTGGACTCTGAGATGAAGGCTTTCTTCAGAGAATACAACCATTTCCCTTTCTTCCCCATCTTGCTTTTCCTCACTATGATCCTTTTAAGAGGCAAAATCATGGGAAAAGAAGATAATTCATTTACATCTGTTAGCAAAAATCTAAACAAGTTTTTTAAACTTTTTCATGTTCAATTCAACTTGAGCACAATAAGGCCAAAACTCGAAAATCTCCATTTGTATTTAGCAAATTGGGGAACAACCCAGATTTGGTAAGACAGTTTAACAACGCCAAGCAACAAAAACTTCAAACAGAAATGAGCTAAAAATGAATGTTTTAAGATTGGGATCCATTAAACAAAAGTAGCAAAAAAGTACCTGAGAATGCAATGCTCAGATCTCAAAGAACTTGAAAGGTACTCTTCCCTTCCTTTTCACAAAACAATAAAAGAAGAAAATAAAATTACGTTTACAGATTAAGAAGAAGAAACGGCTGTATTTTTTTTGAGGCTTCCTTATCTTGTTTGGTTGAAAAGAAAATAAACTTGTGTTTTTCTTTCCCAAAACTTAGTAACCATGTCTCTTAAGGAAACAGTTAAATAATGCAAAGCACTTATTTTTTTCCTGTCGTTTTCAAATTTTAATGTCACTTAACTTCGGTAGATCTGTGTAAAGTGAAAAACTGAAATTTTTAACTGTAAAATATCCGACATGTCTGACAGTTAAAAATATATTTTCTTGGCATATTATTTCCTTTTTTATTACTTTCAAAATAAAAAAAGTGTTTACAACAAAAGCACCAATTGGATAGCTTAATTATATAATATAATAGTAAAGATTAATTCCATCTTACTTGTTTAAAAAAGGTTCATTTAGGCTGAATTAAAAATATATATTTAATTTTGAGATGGAGTAATTAATAATTATTAAATCAGGTTAAATAATGTTTTGATCATTAGATTTTTTAAAATTATAAAATAATCATTAATGTTTTATTCAATTATGAAATGATAATTACACCGTTAACTATATTAGTTAAGGGATTATATAGCATATTAAATTAATAAGTAATATCTTATTTGGTCTCTCAATTGTAATTAAAATTTATTTTTAATATTTTAAATGATAATTAAAAATAATAATTTTAAATATAAAAATTCGTAATTTATTTAAAATTATAAAAATGTTTTTATAAATTGTAATTGTATATTTTTTAAATAATATTTTTTAATAAAACCCTTCGTATTTTTATTACTTAACACAATCATCCATAACTGTTAAGATTAATATATATTTTTATGCTATGAAATTTTGATCATTCGACCATTATCTCATTAAATTATAGCCGTTGGATTCGAAAAAATTATTGTGGGACCTCTACTCGCATAAGCAGAAAAGCTTTGAATGAGTAAGAGATTCACCCATCAAATTAGATGTACGACACGAGTTGTTCCGGATTAATCAAGATAAACATTGGAATCGGAAGCAAACCGAAAAAAATCCAAATTACTAATGTGAGTTAATGATTACCTATGCACTATTTAATTTATGAGTAAATTATACAGGTGACCACTAAATTATTGTCTCATTTCATTTTGACCAATAATATTTATATATTCAATCAATTTGAATATAGTCACTATATTAGAGGATATTTTCTTATTTTTTGTTTATTATTTATTTAATATATTTATTTTCCCTCCTATAAGGTGGGTGAGAAAATGAAGTGTGGCCAAGCAGGATTTGATCCTAGGACAAGGGTATGGCAATCCCACACTTAAACCACTTAACTAGGGATGTAAAAAGATAACCCAACCTGTAAAATTGACTGAAATTGATTCGAGTCAATTATTTGTGACCTGAGCAGTGGTGATATGAAACCGACTCGAGTCTGAACTGGTGTTTACCTGAACCTTAGTTAGACCTGAAAATTGTGTATTTGAACCCGACATGCACCCAATCTGATAATGACTTGAACCTGATTTGAACTGATAATATGATAACCGAACCTGGCCTGCATCTAAATGAAATGAACCTGACCTGCATCTGAATGAAATGAACATGAACTCGAGACTAACCTGGTAAATAATTAGTATTACCCGACCTATTATCAACCTAAGCTGTTATAAACCAAACATGTAATTGACTCAACATGTAAATGATCCGACTTGCTATTGAGCTGATTTGATATTTACCTGACTTGATGTTTACTTGACTTATAAGTTACAATTAGGGTACGTTTGTTTCACTGAAAACATTTTCTGGAAAATGTTTTCCATAAAATGAATTACATTTTCTAAAAAACATTTTCTAGAAACGTTTTACGATGTTTGGAAGATGTTGTTTAAACAATTTTTCCACTAGTTGATGAATTTTTTAAAAATTATTTATTACAAATATTAAATACAATAAATATTATTTATCATAAACTTAATATTTTATTTTTAAAATATTAAAATAATTATTTATTATTAAAATATTATTTTATAGTTTTATTAATAAATATTAATATTGGTATATTTTATTGAAATAAAAATATTATAAATTATATTAATTATTTAAAGTAATAGTGTTATATTATATTTTAAAAATATTAATTAGTATATTTTAAATATATTTATTAAAATATTATTAGATTATTATATTAATATTAAAATATAAATAATATTATTCATTATTAATAATTTAATAATATTATTTCTATGAAATTAATAAGTAATATAAATTTATTAATAATTTATTATATTTATTAAAATAAAAATATGATATCTTATATTATTATAATATAATTGATTATTTTATTATAATATTAAAAATATAATATAATATTATATTATTATAAATATTAATAAATATATTTTAAATATTTTAATAATTAATATTTTGATTAAAATGATATTAAAATATTTTATTAATATTAAATTCTTAAAATAAAATTATTTTGAGTATTTATTTTTGAAGTGAAAAGTTCGGAAAATGACTTACGAAAAATCAGATCATAAGTCATTTTCCAGAAAACACTAAGGAAATTTTGTTGACTAGGAAAATGTTTTACGTTGACCAACTAGTTTTCCTCCAACCAAACACTGGAAAATAAGGAAAACATTTTTCAGAAAATGTTTTACGTGAAACAAACGGAAATGAAGTTGTGAGATTTTGAATTTATAATAAACTATATTACTTATAAGTTACAATTGATGTAGTTGTAAGATTTTGATGAAATTGTTAGATTTTGAATTTATAATAATTATGATAATTAATATGATTATTTTTTAAAAGTTAAAACAAATTGTTAGTTATGATAATTAAATTAATAAATTTATTTTCTATATTAGTTATAATCCTTATATTATAAATATTAATTATAATAATTAAATTAATTTAATTAAACAATTTATTTATTGAACATGATTTTATTAGATTATATAAAATTAATTTAAATATTTATAAGTTTAATTTATTTTTATGTAATAATTAATGAATAATTTAAATATAATTTAATTTAAAATTTTAAAATATATATAAAAGATGAATTTATTTTAGATTAAAAATTAAAATTTTAAAATTTAATTATCGATTTAAAAAACGATATAATAATATATATATATATATATTCATAAGAGTTTAATCAAAAACAATATTCACACGAGTGGTAGGAATTTAAAGGTGAGAATTGGCAAAATTTTGATTTTTTAATTGACAGATTTAGTAGTGGAAAAATTTTGGAGAGAATTTTGGCAATTTGATTTTATAATTCTAACATTTTTTAGGGAAATTTTCGGGTATGTCGGGAAGGTTTAATTGCCCAATGAAATGGTTTAGGTTAATTAGGTCAGCAATCCTCCAACAATTAGCACTTTTTATTTTGTTATTTTGTTTTTTATTTATTTTATTTCAGTCATGGTTTAATTGTAAATCACTTATTATTTTTTAATTGAATGTAATTTAGTCCTGTATACATTCTAATTACTTTTAATTTTCGCTTCTTTAATTTGCATAATTATTAAATGTTAATGTTAACTTTAAAATCTTTTATTTTAGTCACTTATGTTTAATGATATACTTATATATATATAAACTTATGTATATACTTTTATATATATGTGAGTGTGTACATACATCATACATATAGTTATGTATATGCTTATATATATATATTAGTTTATAGTTTATATATTTATACTATATAATTTATATACTTATACTTTATACTTATATATATATATATATATATATATTATAAGTTTAATGTATACTTATATTATATACTTATATAAAAATATATTTATGTTGCATGCATGAATATAATGTACATTATGATATATATATATATATATATATATATATATATATGCATCATATTATCATAACATTCATCATACATATTATATTATTATAATATATATATATATATATATATATTATAATTGTTTCAATTTTTTTCCTCAACTTTTGAAATGAATGCAATTCAATCCATAACATTCATCATACACTATATTTTTATAATGTAATGTACATTACATATACATGCATGATGTATCATAACATTCATTATATATATATAATATATATATATATATATATATATATATTATAATTGTTTCAATTTGATCCTTGCATGTTGTTTAATTTATTTAAATTATAGTTTGTAATTTCATATTTAATCAATTTAATCATTCAAATTATATTATAAAATCTAAAACTTTATAAACTTTTGTTTCTCAACTTTTTTAATGAAAGCAATTCAGCCCATTTTTATATTAATTTCAGCTTCACATTTTACAATTATTTTGATTTGATCCTTATGTGTTGTTTAATTTATTTAAATCTTAATTTGTTATTTCATATTTGTTCAATTTAATCCTTAAAATTATATTTGTATATGAAATTGACCCATACTTATTTATATTTTTATAATTTACTTCAAACCAAATAAATCAAATAATAAACTTCATTTCAAACTCTATAAATTATATCATAATCTCCAAACCCTTAAACTTTTTTCTTCAACTTTTTAAATGGATTCAATTTTGTCCATTTTTATATTAATTTCAACTTAACATTTTATAATTATTTCAAGTTGATCCCTCATCCATGAGTGTTGTTTAATTCATTTAAATTCTAGTTTGTAATTTCACGTTCGTTCAATTTAGTTCTTAAAATTATATTTTTATTAAAATTGACCTATAATTATTTATATATTTTTTAATTTACTCCAAATCATATGCAATTACAAATTATAATTCGTCGTTTATGAAAGAAGAAAAATAATTAACCCAAAAATAACTCGACCCGAACTCAATCCATACCCGGTAAGATCCGACCTAAATTATGTATGAAAATGATGTGACCGATCTGAACAAGATCCATCTGAAGTCCATCGGAACTTGAATTAATCTTGTATTTATTTACTTCAGACATGAACCGTTTTGACCTGAACTGACGTCGATCCGAACTGAAATTA